ATCAACAGATGAACAGCACCCACTTGGCTAAGATGCTTCCAAGAATCTAACTCACTCCAGAACCACAAATATTCTCAAATGAGTCTTTTTCTGTCTTACTTGAAATCATTTAAGCCAATATACTTCTAAACATATCATGTGTTTTTCAAAAAATGATTCTGCTTTTAGGCAAAACAGAGAGCTTATTACTAGATTATCTTTGTTTGGAGTCATGTCTTGAATTCCTGGTTGTCCTTCACTTTGCTTTCCCCACATTTGTCAGTATAACTGAGGCCATAAGCATAACATTCATCCAATGAATCAAAGTTATCTAGATTAAAAAAAAAAAAAGTAGTTAAGAAATATTTAGGAAATTATTCAAATTAACTGCAATTTTGTTGATTGAATGTAAGTGAGAAATGATTACAGGTTAGTTTTTAGTACCAAGTCTGAGTGGGCAGCTACACATTGCAATCAGCTGGGAAGAGCAAGCTCCTCACTTGGCATTAAGCAACATCCTGCTGAGTGTACTACCTACCATTACCCTCCTTCTGAGGCGCTGAACTCTCCTGGGAACAAAATGAGTTTTGGAGGCACCTGTGTACTCCATAGGAAGAAGGTCACACTTAAACAGTGTCTTTGTTCTTCTAGGTTCAGATTCAGAAAGGTGTTTAAGTGCCAAACTCTGGTTTTACTGGAAGTTAGATCCTTACAGATAGAGGTATAAATAAGTACACAACACATGATCCCTGAAAAAACAGTGGGATCTACATGAGTGAGGGAATGTTTCCAGTCAGATGGTTATGATTTATTGCCAGTGGGAAAGAGAAGGAGGGAATATCTTGTTCTACCTGGAAGATCTGCTTGTTTCTGCCCTGTAAAATTCTAGTTGTATGATATGAAGATAAGCAGAACTAAAACAATTAGATACAGACAACTCGTCAATTAGAAAAATTATTATTCCAGCTGAACCAAGTTAAACAAAGCTACGAGCACTATGACCTGTTGCTAGCAATGGCAACACCATTTCACAGGGCTGCAAAGTTGCTCAAGCACTTCAAGGTTTGCCAAAGAGTTCAACACCGGCAGCTTTAGTGGAAGGTGTGAAAAAACTGAGCTAGGAAAATGTTAGATAATTATATTGCCTTTCCAGTAAAGGTATTATAATTTACTTAAATAACACTCATGCTCCTTCTAAGACATGGCAATCTTTGATGTTAATATTAGGACCTGTCACATTTTACCCATACCTCCCTTCCTGAAGTCTTATGTGACTGTAACTCTTGATAGCACCTAACATTTAAAAGTAATTATGGTTTGATCAGTCTTACTCAGTAAATTGACTGTGATCTGCTCTTGTATTAATTAGCTCCTATGCCCTTCTTGTATTCTCCAATATTCCATTTTGAAAGTGCACCAAAATAAGCAGAGCTCAAGCTACAAGGATACTAACATACAAAGAAGTAAACTTACCTTCTTGCTAACATATATCCATAAAAAGAAAGTCAAGCCTAATACTGAAATTGGTATAAAACACAATTCAGATATTAATGTATCAAATTCCTGGAGAAAAAAAATATTTTTAAAATTACTTTTTGTATAAGTTATAGATTTTATATATATTTCAGTTTATTTTTGCCAGAAAACTTACACTGTTCTTAGTTATTGTTTTCTCTCTTGACATTTTCCTGGTATTTCTATATTGGTGTTAATACTGAGGCTATAAAGTATGTATAACTTTGTGATAAGATAGCTGAGAATATTGCCATTTTTTCTTCTACAATAGGAAATATGAATGTGCAAATGAACATATTGATAAAATGTAATAAAAAGAAATATATGACATAGCATAGTCTTTTGTGAAGCTAATAACAATGTAGTTTTACTTCCAGGTAGATGGATAGAAAACACTAAATAGAATGTATGAGTACAACTGATTAGCAATATTCAGACTTTACAATATTGACAATTTAAATTAAAACACTTATGTATAATTATAGAATTAATACAAATATATTTACTAGTTACCTTTATTGCCTTCCCTTCTCACAATTTATGTGGGAACAGGATAAGAAGTAAAATTACTTCTTAGAGAAAATCATAAGTTTTTATTTTGTTAATATGTATCAGCAAGTTAAGCTCATTTAGGGCTTACTGCTGTTATTGTACCGATTTAGTAACTTCTGTGTCATGCATGCAAAGTCTGAAACGTAAGTTTTCCTAATGAAGGCACTAAATGTCTGCCTTAGTATGTAAATCATGGTCAAGAGATAATCCATCTCACTGCATACATTTGAACCAATACTCAAGCAGAAACATAAGAAAGCTTCATTTGTTTTGGTGAGCACCTTCTGGTTAGGTTTTTCTTCAGCAAAACATTTCTACACCAGGATTTCATTTATGACACAAATATAAGTTCCATAACACTGTGATTTGGGACAGGTATTATTTTATTTCTAATTTGTTTGTATGTGTATTTTGAAGTGCTAAATTAGTATTTTGGTCCAGAGCAACTTCAGTTTTTTTTATCATGCCCATGAATTAGTGAGTAATTTATATATAACTTTAATAGCAATTTCATTGAAATTAACTCAGCTCTATCCTCAAAATGAAGTTTGAAACAGAATGCTGTGAACACACAACAACTGCTCAAAATTATTGCAGAAAAATGAAAACCATTTTGTCACAGTATGAAAAAGTGATGGACAGTTGCTTCATGAGTGCTCTTTTCATCAAGCTATTGAATTTGGCTTTGAGTCATGCTGATTATTTCAGCAAGTTAAAGCAGTTAAGTGAGAAATAAAGCTCTTAAACATATGGCAGTTCTGATTATCATATGAAAGCCAGGCATGCCAAAGCTTTGGAGAACACATTGCTCTAAGCAGACGATAGAATGAAAATTAAATGCCAGTTTCAAAAAGTGTACTGGAAAAAATACACCTTTCTTGAGGGCATATGACAAAATTTGGGAATCATGTAAACATTTTTGATTTCACATTTGTTAAAAACAGTGGTTGACTCTCTGTCTTTATAATAGATAGCTCATTTGGTAAGCTCTGGAAGCCACAGCTGCTGATACAAGGGAGAGAAGGAGAGCGAAGGGAACGGGAAAGTAAGACAAGGGCAAGAGCATTGTTCAAGTTCTCATTTCTTAAAATTGAACCACCACTTACCATTACATTCTATGGAGGAACTCCTGCTCAATGTCCAGAGAACAGCCTGTGTATTTATTTCCACATATTTATTTGGCAATTCCCTATATCCAGGGTTTTTTAAAATTTGTAGTTAACAAGGAATAATATATGAATATGCTTAAACTCTTTATTTATAAGAACTTGAAAAGTGGGATATTATGACCAGCTGAAATCCCAATTGCTGCAAAGTATCAGAATGGCATAAAAGTCCTCAGTCTTCCAAAACAAATATTTAAGCATACCAGAAACGATAATTGGACATACTTGAAAGCCTTGCCTGGAAGATGGAAACCAGTCAGACAGAATTTCCAGTGATGAAGGTACATGTACATGGAACCTGGCTGGACCTAGAATTTTAACAGTGACAAATTATTTTGAATTAGTATTATAGGGAACTATTCTAATAGAAGAATTACAAACTTTGAAGACAAGTAATATATGTAAAAGTTTACTCCCATATATTTGAATTTTGCTAATAGATACTGATAGGTGGCAGAACTAATCAGTAGAGGCAGTGAATTTCTTTTTGTTTATATAATTACATATTACCATTGATATTTCAAATACTTGAGATCTTAGTGAAGAAAGCTTACACAGGAATTAAATGTATTGTGGCAGGTAAATATACAATTCAATTTTTAATCATAATTTATACTATTTGTGTCACTTAAAAATATTCTCCAGATTTCATTTTTACTCTGGGTGTTCTGTTGAATGCAGAGTTATCTTGCATGACTGCAGCTGTGGGGATTTTTACAAAGTTTATTTCATATTGCTGAAGGCTCAATAAGAGACAGATATGGTGCTATAGAATTAATAATTTTTAGGGGTCATAACTTATCAGTTACTGTTTGTTTGACATGTATTCCACAGAAAGTGTATTTTTAATGGTTAATAACAAATAAAAAAAAACTATCGTTGTGAAGACAGCATCATTAACAAGATTTTGGAACAGAATATAACAAAAAATACATCTGACAAGAAAAACAGCAGGAGAATAACAGGTAAGCAGAATGTAATTACCCTTTTTGGAAGATGGCCAGTACACTAAATTTGGTGCATGTGTCATCCAAAGGACGATAACCTGTATTATTAATTCATTTCCAAGACAGGTCTGAGCTGGTTTTGCATTTTGTGTCTTATGAAGATTTGTTTTCTTGTTTTTTTTTCTTCCAAAAGAACATAACATAGCTTTCTGCAGAAACGTTTCACAATATGAAATCATAATTGTTTAGGGTGAGGCCTTTCATTATTTTCAAGCTACCGTATAGGTTTATTTTGTCATTTTTCCACCTTTTATTATATCAAAGGAATATTTTCATGAAAAGGTAAGTACTGTAATCAAAAAGTGTTGAAATGTTTCTTTTTTTATATTATTATAAATGCTGCCAAAAGTGTTCAGCTTTTAGCATATTCCTGTGATTATTTTTCTTCAAAAAATTGTTGCTTAGGAAATCTTGTGATAATTTATTGTTCATATAAGCATGTTTACACCATTTTAACTTGCTCAACAACACCAGTTAATATAAATGACTGCAAATATCTTCCTGGATTTTCACTGACTCTAAATTACTGGATCATATAGATTTAAGGGCAATAATATTCTCTTTGGTAACACTAATTCACCTTTTTCATTCAAGATTTCTATTCTAATTCCAAACTACATAAATTAGGTAGATCCACATCTAAATGTGTCTGCATGCTTCCTGTTACTTTGTAGTCAAAAAAAGGTAGACACTGCTGCTGTTCACCTATACACAAGTGCCTCTCCTACAACTCTGGAAATTCACTGATGACCCTACATGTTTCTTTTTTTTTTTTTTTTCCCCATCAAATTCTCATTAAACTTTTCAAATCCATTACAACACTGAGGTGATGTAAATCATGATAAGATTTATTCCTCTCATTCATTTTCTTAGAGATTAAGTCTATATAAATATGAGACTCAAGCAGCTAAGTCATCTCACTTAGCTGCAGAACCCACTCAATATAGACAAAAACAGTTATAGTCTCTTGAGTAGATTTGAAAGCCACACTTTTCAAAGCAAATTCAAAACCAACTGAAACGATTGGTGGTACTGAGATAGTCTGATAATTATTTGGGTCAACCACATAACAACTTTTGAAAGCACAGATTAGCTTCAATGTGCAACTAAACAGCAGGAAATGAGGGGAAAACAGACTGAAAATGCATTGGATTTGTAAAGCAGTGTCAGAATAGGATCAGTCTGGGTTTTGGAAAAAAACAAATCTAGTGGCAAAAGCTGTGATGGCTTGGATCCTTTGTTGTGGCTGAGTATGGTATCTGTAGCTGCTTCCTCTGCTGATGAGCTTTACTCTCCATTTCCTTTGCTAGCCAGCCATCCAACTTTCCTTTGAAGAAAACAAGCAAACAAACAAACAAACAAACAAAATGTCAGCTGGATCTGTATCTTCATAGTTGTTATTTTACAGAGACAACCTGCTTGAAAACACTGGATCTGATGGACTGCAATATTGTACAACTGGCCCTAAACATGCAGGGACAACGAGTGTGCTGTCTTTATTTCCTGTGCTTCCTAGGCTTCCTTTCCTTGTAGTTTACATGTAGTTTTCTGATTCTGGAAAGATCAACGATGGAAATGGCAATCAATTTCACTTGTCTTTTTGTTCAATATGCAAACTTTTTATTTGCATGTGGCTCAAGTGTTTGTTTGGAACTTCTGCAGCCATAAGTTGAATTCTTATGTTTGCTGCTGAAATGCCATGCTGCCTAGAATTCAACAGCAAATAAATATTCTTGCCCTCACTAATTTGAAACAGTGTGAGTTTTAAATCTTTAGCTGTGGGAGATTTATTAAGACTGCAGTTTTCCTCACCCTTCCTTCTGTTCATCAAGATAAGTCAAAACTACAGGAACCATATTTTTCAGAATTATTGCAGTTTTGTAAATTCAATTTCTTTAATTCCTTTAATGTAATAGAGCAGGGCTGTGATCAGTCAAAGGTTGGAGGTTGGACTAGATGATTTTAGAGGTCTTTTCTAGCCAAAATGATTATGTGATTCTGTCATGAGAGCAAGAAACCAAAGCTATAAATAAATGAAGAAGTTATCCATGTTTTAAGATTAAAGTTAACTAATTGGCTTAATTGATAATGTCATTGAGTTTTTACTTTGTAAAGACCTGACAGATTCTGAAGCACAGTGTTACTTACTGAGTTTTGAATTACTATTGTAATCACTGTAGTATGATCAATTTCTTTTTAATTAGTGAACATTCTTTGGGACATATATAAGAAGGATGTTGCTTTTTATGATTACATTAAGATTTTCTGCAGAGAATATGCACTGTTTTTTACTTCACATATTTTTAGTGACCTCCTGCCAATTCCATCTTTCTTTCATATCTATACAGCTCCTGTAGCATGTTCTAGAGCAGTAAAACTTTCCTCCATAACAGAAGGCATGCATTAATGAAATTTTTCTTTTAGTTCTAGAAAATGTTAATATTCATTGTTAAGCAGATTTATCACTGCAACCTTATCACTATCATACACTTTTTTCCTGTTGAAGGAACTATGAAGTGCTTATTACCATCCATTTGTTCACACTGCCTATAGGCACATTGGCTCTAGGCAACCAAAATACTTGTAGTTAAAACTGTTACAGAAGAGGAGGTCAGGGAAAGAGTTCAGAGAACTTCACTGAGACCTTTTATTATACCTGGAAGAATATTATGGAAATATTTTGAGACTTTGAAAAGTCACCAGTCCCTTCAAAATATCATCCAGGCTTTTTAAAAAGAATCTGAGATTTTTCTAAAAGAAAGGACATTTTTAAATCCTCATTTTAAATTTATTTTAAAATTATAAAAGTTTTAAAAATCTGAGGGAAAAAATATCTCTAATACATCCATTTATTCCTTCTTGTTGACATTATCTTGACTGAAGGTACCTTTGACTGGACAACTGCAACAAGTGTCAAGCAACTTTCATCTGTAGAAGGATCTTCCTCCAATGGTACATTGATGGAAGAAGGATGAGGAGTGTGAATGACTAGAAGTGAGTTTGCTTTTGCTAGGATGGAGCCATTATATTATTCTCCAAATTTAGCTCTCAAAAAGAAATAAATCAATCGAGAGACAATTCAGTCAATATGAAGTTCTGTAAAGTAAGCATAGGTCTGTTGATTTAGGTAATTTATTTTGTGTACATATAATTCCAACTTTTTTTTATAATCTCAGACCATATAGAATTATCTAATAAATGCATTGACAAAGTCTCCTGCTACACCCTGGTGTAATTATTTGATATTTCATATGATAGGATATAGATTCCGACAGATAGGAAAAGTGCTAATTTTGCATGATCTTTTGACCAAAAAAAAAAGTCAGGTCTAGTACAATTAAGAGTCAAATAGTTTTAAATATAGATAACAAAGCCTTCATATTCTTTAGCTAGTGCATGATCATGTAGAGAAATAGTTTATCCTTCAGATTATTCTTTCCTAAATTGAAATGAAGTAGTCATCACTATTTCCAAAATATAAACACTTGCTTTAGAGTTTTGATAACTAAAATGTTTGAAAATTTCAATTATTTTAGGATTGATATCTGCAAGGTAATTCCGTGAAACTCGGAATTTCATAAGTAATATATTTTTGTTGAAATAGTTAGAAAGAAAATGAATTAGACACCTTCTGTAAGAAGCCTACTTGGACTCCAGAAGAGATGAATAATATTTAATAGGCCTAAGTAAAAGATTTTCACCCAAAATTACTCTAATTGCAATGTCATATATTGTCTGTACAAAGTTCTTGACTGAGAATGATTTGTTTCAAACTTTCCTTATAAAAAGTAATTATGTGAATAAAAAATTTCACACACGTTCCAGTAGTTCTGCGATATGAAGAAACTTGCATTCAGGTGTTTCTATAGAGACTGATATGAATAAAAATTATTTCCTGAGCTAAGACTTAAAAGCAGATGTTGGATCCCTCCCACTGAGATTTAATGTAGGGGCTAGCCATCTACTTGTAACACAGGATTGTGGATATCCATTTTAGTAAATGGAAGTCAATACAGGCAGTGGAGCCTAAAATACATAGCCATCTGCTTTAAAAATAAGATGGATTCTTTTCTCTGCTCCATTGACTATATTGTCATGATCTCTTCCTATTAAAATGTGAATTTAGATAGCTCCTTGAAGTGCTCTGTAAAGACCAGAGTCTCAGTTCCCCACAATCTACTTTAGAGTGAGCTGACAAGTATTCTACATCCTTGGCTGCACTGACTTCCACCCCATGGACCACTGTGCCAGCTTGTATGTCTGATTTGCATGCAAACACTGAAATTTCAGTATCTGACTTCAAAATGATCCCTGTGATTCCTGGGTTTTGGTGGTTTTTGGGGGTTTTTATTGGGTTTTTTTGTTTGTTTGTTTGTTTGGTTTGTTTTGTTTTGCTTTTCTGGGATAAAGTTTATTTTCTTCATGCTGTCTAGTATGAGGCTGTTTTGGATTTGTGCTGAAAGCAGTGTTGATAGCACAGGGATGTTTTCGTTATCATTCTTTAACAGAGTCACTGCCTCATCCCACCAGTGAGGAGATTTGGGGTTCACAAGGCGCTGGGAGGGGACACAGCCTCAGGTGTCCCCAAATGACCAAAGGGACACGCCAGACCATGTGACATTGTAGTCAGTGTATAAGGTGAAAGAAAGAAGGAAGAAGGGGACCCATATTTGTAGTAATGATGTTTTTCTTTCCAAGTCATCATTATGTGCAGTGGAGCCTTGGTTTCCTGGGGGTGGCTGAGCACCTGCCTGTTTGTGGGAAACTGAATCAGTCCTTTTTGCTTTTATTGTTTGCATGGCTTTTACTTTACTTCTCAAACTGTCTCTCTTTCAGCCCATGAGTTTTCTGGCTTTTACTTTTCCAATTCTCTTCCTATCCCACTGAATGAATGAGTGGCTGTGTAGGGTTTATTTGCAATCTGGGGTAAAACCATGACGATCCATCTCAATTAATTTGATTAATTGCTATTACATACATGCAAAATATTGTTTGCTATGCCCCAAAGCATCCAAATCCAAAAATCTGCACACAACGGGCAGAAGTGACAAAAGATGAACGAGAGTCCTATGTCACCCTGGAACAGCAGCTGGAGGTCAGAGCAGATATTTTAAATGGCATTACACATCCATGTGTATGCATTTACATTGAATCCCACGTTTTAATTTGAGGATGGAACACATCCTGCAACTAGAATCCAACAGTACATTTCATTATTTTAGATTACCACCCTACAGTTATTAAGCTGCATGAACTGCCACCTCACACACTTCTTTCTTTTTTTGCAAGTGGATGATAAACATGGCCTTTGTCTGAATTAAAAATAAAAGCAAATTTTTGGAATATCAAAACTTTTCTTGAGAGATTTTTATTTCTCTGCTGTGTTCTAGCTAGAAAGAGGATTCAGGCACAGCAAGCACAGAAAGTAGCTTCGTGTAAAGGAGAATAAAAATAAGGTCTTTAAGGTCAACATTGAGCTGTTGCTATGATTTATTTTAGCATTGAAATTCTTCAAACAATGAAGTTGCCAATTTTTCCTACAAGCATTTATTTAACACTATCAGAAAATTAGTCCTTGCTATTTACTCTGAATTGTAGGTTCTTATGTAGAAAGAGTGGGCATAAAATATATGAAAATATTCATGCTTTTTGTTACTTAACAAACTCTCCACTCAAGTAGCTCTTTCAGTCTTACCTAAAGTAGTATTTCTTCCAGACTCTGGGTAAAAGAAATTATTCTTTTGGAATTTTAGGCAATGGTGTGTTACAAACAGATTTTCTTCATATTTACTCAGAAGCTTAAACTTTGCAATCATACCATAGTGAAACAGACTATTTGATTTTCTGTGACTAAAAATGGAGAAATCAATACCAAACCCAGTATCAAGGACATTAGATTTATTTTTCACTGAGTGATTTAAAATCTAATTAATTATATATCTATTTTTTTCCCTTAACTGTTTCCTAAAGGAGAACCTTGTCTGAAAAAAACCTGGTTTTATTGAATGACTTTTTTTTTTTTAATTTCAGTTGATATAAATTAGAAGTTTGATATGCATTTTTATTGATTTTTTTTTCAAATTTTTGCTGCTTTAGGAAGTTTTAAATTACAAGTATTCATAAAGAGAAGAATTTTGCTAATGTTTGGCAGCTTGGTGATCATCAGAGGAGGGAGAACTCTGGACTTTAGAGGTTTCTTATCTTTCAATGTATTATTTTTGCTTTTTTGTATCTCTTCCAAGGGGAGAAAAAAGGAAAAAACCATGAAAAGTGGTAAACCTAGGCCAGATTTTCATCTAATTTAGAAAAACTATTGACACAAACTAAAATCTCTTCAACAATGTGAAAGAAAACTGTTCTAGTCTATCTGAAGACAGGTCAGAGCATACAGATTTCCACCTGTGATGTTTAATTACCATGTTAATTATGTTAGTTATGATGTTTGTGCTAAATTCTTTCTGAAATACAAATGGTGCTCACCTTTGGAGAGTTATAACTAAGGGTAAATATGAAAATAAACTCATTCAAGTTTACCATGTATACAGCCTTAAAAACAGCAGAATAAGAACCAGATTAATTTATATTTGAGGTGAAGGTCTGCACTTGGATGTAGATAGCATCAATTAGCTGTTAAAATGCAAAGTACATCTTTATGAGTCTCCACATTTAATTTCTGTATATGCTAGACAGCAAAGCAGAGCTTGAAAGTCACACTCCACTTTTTGCTTTTGTTTTTGAATGACAGAATTATTTAGCCAGGTTTGGCAGCTGATTTCCAGCACAGCGATTTGGGGCTGCTGTTTTATTCCCCAAGCAACCACTCAGCCATTTCATCTCTCTGCAACTCCCTCAGTTATTACCTTCAAATACCTGTTTTGCTTCATTACCCTTATTTGTGGGTGTTTCTACACATTTTCACTATCTTTTTCATTGGGATAAGCCACAGTAGCCATCACTGGCCACAGATATATTCCATCTTCATTTTCTGTCTGAAAAGGCCCTACTTATACGGTACTTGGGGTTTTCCATGGTCTCAAGGATGCCTAAATGATGAATATGACACAGGGGATTCCATCCTCTTCAAGAAGTTAGTGTTATATTTTACAACTTAAAAAAACCCCAGTCATTTCCTCTCTGAAGGATATATATTTTCATCTTGTAACTTTTGTAACTTGGGGAAGTCTCTCAGTGCATCATTTAGCAGCACAGACAGTGTTGTGCAAGAACAGTATACTCTGACACTACTTAAGATATTATCCTATTGCTTGAGCAACGAGTGAAACATGAGAAAGGGAATAAACCCCCATAAGAAACCTTAATATGCCTTTTAATTTTTTTAGAAAAAGGTTTTATATTTCTCAGATGGTAATACAACTTGATTTTAGAGATAAAAACTGATAAATTCTGCTGTTTTAGTTATAGCAATGGCCACTGTCATGCATGAACTCCGAGCTACATTAATTTCTCTTGTAAAGAAAACTGTAATTGTTGTCTCAAATTGTTTTCTAAAGTAATGGAGACTGGGACTAGACACTGCTCAAACAAAATCTTGAAACAGTATGACAGAAATGAGCCACGAGAAAAAGTGAACTGCCCTGGACAAGAGCCTGTTGGTGGTTCCACTGGCTATTCCTGGTACTGTACTGTCAACAGTTTCCAAGGCTGGATGTTCTATAGCCTCCAGAGGCTGGTGCTTAATAACTTTCACATTTGAAAACTTTATACAAATATTTAATCTAGAATAATATTAAAAATAATAACAACAAGAATAGTAACTTCTAAAACAAAACATTTCTGTCCCATGTTTTAGTGAGATAGAAAACATGTTTGTTTCTTCTTTGCAGCAGGCTTATACTTTTCTGAAGGGTATTATGAAATAGCTCTCCTTGTTGCCTTTCATGTGAACCAAACTCTTAAATTTTTCCCCTTTATTGTGTTTTCTTGATTTTTGACCACTGTAATTTCTCTTTAATAGAATATCTCCTAACTTCTGACAACTTGCAGACCTATTTAGTCTAATATTTCTTCAGATGATTACACCTGTGAGTAGGAAAAACCTTCCACATCTCTTCTAAATGGGACTCACTTTTTAGTTTTTTTAAATCAATTTTTCAGGGTCCTTTCTATTTGATTCCTGTCTCCAGTGTGCATGAATGTTGGTCTTCAGGCAGTAAATTGTCTACCAGGAATCTCCTTGATGATTTATTCTCTACCAATTATTAAAATAATGAAGCTGGGCTAGAAGTACATGGCACTGACTTCACAGATACAGCAAGACTCACAGGCTCATTAAGAGTTGTTTAACACTAGTGGACCGGTGTCAATAGCAGTGGCGGAACATGGGACTGAGCATTAGCTCTCTTATAAACTGCACATTACTTCCTTTTCAAATTTGATCAATGCTGTTGGGGGTTTTTAAATAGAATGTTATCTTTTCTGTACAATCTGAGTACTGTATGGGAACAATTTCAATTTAATGGAATATCTTTTCCATCCAAAAGAAGAAATTGAATGAAATGCAGTTTATCTTCAGAAGGATCAAAATATTTAATTTATTCAATATGGTTGGAGATTTTTATGTCAGCTTGTTTTGGTTTTTTTTTAAATAGTACACTCATTTATAAATACAATTTTAATTAAACCTCTAGTTTTGAAGTAGGATATACCAGTTATTATCAATGAGAAAAAAATATTTATGAAATACATGTGTTCCTTTTAAAGAGTGATTCCCTTCACCTGTGTGGGTGTTCAAAAATATGTTGCAGGTGCATTTCATTAGTCTTTCAGTCCTTTATTGTTCTGTGCAAACAAATTGCTCAGCCTGATTAATTTGGGAGATCTTCAACTCCCAAAGTAAATAATCTTTCTCAGGCAAGCCAGAGTGTTACAATGTCACACTTTAGGACTATGAACTACACAGTCACAATCAACTGCCTGCCAAAATAACATAAAGGTGCTTTTTTGCTTTAAATGCCCCTTCACTATACTGTTCAATAAAAGCAATTTGTGCTGTCCACGCTGACCTTTATATAGTATTACATGGTCTGCAGAGGAAATGTGTCTGATCAATAGTTAGTGCTCAGGGATGAGAGCAGCTGAACTCCTGGATACATCTCCTGCTGGAACACAATTACAACAGCAGATGACGTAGGACTGTGCTCTGTTACTGCAAATTAATTGATGACTTGTTTAGAAAACTGTCCTTATTACTCTGAATTCTTCTCTAATCTGAAAAATTTTGAAATAAACTTAATGTGTAATTGTATAGTAAGCTTATTATGGTGTTGCTAGGAAGAGAGAGAAAAGAGGATAGGAAACAAGCAACTATGAAATAAACACCTGAAAAAAGAATTATCAAGTAAATACTAGACCCTTTCAGGGAGAATAAATGTTTCTGCTATCATAGCTAAACAGAAAATATTTGATCTTGTAAACTCCAAAATTCCTATTTTATTAAAAGCTTTTTATATTTTATTATTCCTTTGGGATGAATTTCAATAATACTAGAAAAGAATACATGGGACCAAAAGAAAAGTAAAACATGTTCATATTGGTTTTAGCCTTTTTACTTTCTTCCTTATTTAAGCTTTAAAGGAAGAGCATATTTCAAACTGCAGTTACTTGTAGCACCAAACTGCTTATCAGTGCATTCACTGTCCATTGCAGCCTCTCCACTCATGGATTCAGTTGGCTAAGCTGATCAGAATCAACCATTAAAAGTATACCTGCAGATTTTCTGTACAGAATTTTTCAAGCATTCAAGCAATTTCAACCAACTTTCTACAAGCATTTAAGATAAACATCATATTTCAGAAGTCCTTGCTGAAGCAAAGCAGAATGTACGATCCTGTTTGATGACATGGTAAGAAGAAAATTATTCTGATAAGGCAGGAACCGCAGACCCTGAGTCAAAATTACTCAGCCTTCATATTCCACGGTTCTCATAAATTTTTATCCTACTTGATATTTTCAGCTGGATGTCAAACACCAGATCAATCAATTTCTATATTTTCTTTTTCCTTTCAAATATGATTCAGATGAGAGCAGAAGTATGAAAGTGACTAGAAAGTTTAAGCTAACATTTGTCATAAAACTTTATAAAATATTCACCTGTGTATCTGGAAATGGAGGTTGGATCTCCCTGTGTCTGAAGTTGCACATATTCTTTATTGATTAATATACACCTGAAAAACTGAGGTGAAATCTTAACTGCTCACATTCAGCAAGGTATCTGACCTTTCATTTCCCCATTTTCACATCTGAAAAAAAGAAAACAAAAAGATTCTTCCTCCTTTTTTGTGTACTAATTTGAAATCTACTGGAGGAAATTGTCATTGCAAACCCTACAGAGTATCTTACGTCATATCACAAAACACACAGTAAAAGCAGAAATTTAGAAATTGTCTGAGGTGCTTTCCTGCTGATATTTAAGCTATGTATGTGTCCTAAATAGTTCTAGTATTTGAACACAGCAGTGTACCTCAGGGAACCCTGCTGCCTCACTATGTAATTTTATTGATCCTGTTACAGAAATGATGCGGCCAAATACACTTTTATCGATGTCCTAATCTTCAATTAAACTCTGCATGTAATCTATATAGTTAGCAAAATAGCTGAAAATTTGAAATACTTCAGCTAATTAAATACATTGGTGCAGCATTATTTACATCATTACTAAGTGATCTCTCACTCCCTTTGCTTTCCAGAAATGTACATTTCCTAAGTTAAACTGTCTTAGAATCTGTAACAGGTTCTTGAGGAGAGAAGAACAGTCTTATACTGGAATACTTATATTAAAGTGACTATTACTTGTGTTTTTGGTTATTCCGGATTATTACTTTCAAAGTTAACATTGGGAAACTGAAGCCTGAGACTACTTTTGCAGTAGCCTTTTATTTCAGGTATGGAATTTCATGAGGACCTTTAATTATTTTTCTGGATTATAACACCTTTTTTGTTTGGATGCATTGTTTGTAGTTCCATGACAGCTTTTATGAGCCTCATTTGCACTTCTGCATTGCAATTTTAGCTTTGCCTTGTAAGAAGCCATATACCATTCTTGATCTTTTGTGCACTTTGCATACAGATAAACTGTGAGTAAAACAAAGAGCCAGTCATGACCAAAGATAAATTTCAACAAACTCCAGTAAAATTGGTTCTAGCTGTCATTCTTCTTAAGAGGGTCCAATGTGCCTATAATGCCTGAACAAGATGAGGTGCTTTTCACTGCAGAGGGTTTACAAACACTGTGGTGTAATTCTCTGATCTCTCTAATAAATTTTGTGTTTTCAGGGTGACATGCAGTCTGTGTAGTCTAAGTAAATATACTATAATAACTGCTAATTTTTATATTGATTGTAGAAGCAAAAGAGGTTTCTTCTATTGGAACAGACACTGTGGAAAAATCACTTACAAATTCCACAGATTTACATTTCTTTAGGTTTTCTATTTTTTTGGAGGAAGCTATCATAATCCTAGATGAAATATCAGCAAGGTGCAGCTCTATGCACAAAAAAGCAGTGTCATTGAGCAACCTTCTGAATACTAAATAGCAGTTTCTGAAAACAGAAATCCAAAGCGTTTCTCCAAAATTTGTGAAGCCTGATCAGAATATGGTGAAATTACATGTTTGTTCTACAATTAAATGTGACTAAATTCTTGCCTTTGACAATTTTTACCCTCTTGTTTTGCAGTAACAGATCTTGCATACATGGTTAACAAAAAATTTATCAAAAGTATCAGCCAGAAGGTATTCCCCAGGAGAACTTGTGGTGTGACTCCTATTTCCATAGGGAGGAAACCTCACATACCTGGGCTTTAAAAAAATGCCAGTATTTTTTCCTACACTGAAAAATTGATGCGTATTCATTCTGGTTAGATTGCAGTTGCTCAGTGGATGCAAATATTCAAAATGGATTATACAAGTGTGTTGCATCATATGGACTTTATATAGATAATCACTTAAACAAGGCCAACAGCCTCAATTAGCCCAGTTTGGTACTAAAGTCAGTTACTGCAGCTTGCAAAATATGTAAGGCACTTCGCATTTCAAGTACCGAAAGGAAACTAACAGAGTTCAGGGGATGAATAAAATTTGCACCAGAAGTTCATAAAATCAGGAAAACTCTTCTTGATAAACTTTTCCTATTGAAATAAATTTTTAAATTTTTTCCACTTTTTTTTTAATGAATTTAGTTTGCATTAGATATTCACTTGACTTTCTGTTCTCTCATTTCTACAAAACACTGCCATAAGATAAAATCATTCTATAATCAATTTTCTACTTCAAATTGGGAAAGCAAATGAAAAATCCAACATATACATTTTACATATCAACAGAATACAAAATTTTATTTTCTCATTACACTATTTTCAACAGCTAGAGGGAGTAAATTTATTCCTTATTTAAACAGGCCATCTTAATCAACTTAAACAGATGATTAATATTTTGTAAAATATTTTGTCCTACGGAAATGTTTGATGAAATTCAGCTGTAACATTTGGTGATCCATTCAGTGGGTTTCATTCAAAGTGCTAGTGAGCAACTGATAGCAGATGGATAAATCTCAGTGACCAGATTCCCAGTGTGTGGATGAAGCAAAAAGAAACAGGAGTGATGCACAAAATTTAAAAATAATATTCTTATGTTGCAATACATGTATGGTATTTTGCACAATATTTTATTTTTGTTTTTATTTAGCTATGTTTCCCCTTTCTTTGGAAACCACACCTGTTAAGATAAGTTACAAAACATCCACTTGATTTTAACTATGGATGCAACAGGTCTGGGTTGGGAATAACCAGAGCTGGAGTAAAATGTTCCATGTTCTACTAAATACTCAAGGATGCCACTCATTCATTTTCATTTTAGTTCATTTGATAATAATTCTGCTATTCTAATTAAAGTTTTAAATCAACAGCTTGTTGGGACTTGTTTCAATTTTTTTGGGTTTTTGGGTGAATGTTGGACAGGATGTTTTAATCATCCAGAATAGCCTCAGCTTTTTAAGTATATAAAACAAGAAAGATATGGAAATAAAATGTAATTTGTAGAAACAGATCTTATAAACATGCAAGGATATACCCACAGGTTATGGGACAGTAAAAAAATAGTGAATTCATAATATTTTAAAAATCAATTACTTGGGCCTAGGAAAACAGGCATAAAAGTCTGAGAAAGTTGAAATTTAACTGAATGTCTACTGGGACTAAATCTAAAAAGATATTAGGACCTATAGAAAATTAGCAAGAAGGGCAGCTACACCTCATCAAAGGTTCAAATACTTAACAGTATATTTAATTTTTTCTGCTAATAGACTGGCAAAAGTAATTTAGAAAAACTGAAATATTAGATCCAAGTAGATCATTCTTCTGATTTCTATAAAGCAGATATTTAAATAATTTTTACTTTAGGAAGCAAAATATCTGTCACAAATGTTTGAAATTAAGATGGCAGTTGCAGGGCTATGATGTCCCTTGAGATATGTAGGTTAATCTGGGAAGCTTGTACTGGGATCAGACATCTGTAAGATCAGACTGAATGCAGAATAGCCCGGAAGCTCACACAAAATTTTGTCATGCCCAACAGATTGGCATGACAAAATTCCAGACATGCATTTTGCTATTTGCTGCTGGGTGTAGCTTGAAAAACTCAATGAAAATTCTTCTAGGAAAAATTATTCCACAGATGCTTGTGAACTGATAGAACCTTCAAAAAATCAAAAAAGGGGGATTTATTTTTTTTTTGGGTAAGCAATTAGCTGTGTTTGTTCCTTCCCCCTACCAAAAGAGAGCAGAAGATCTTGAAATTTAGATGTCAACAGTTTTACTGTAAAATATGAACTTGTCCTCAATGATAAAAGAATATAAGCAGTAAATAGTATTTCTTGGAAAGGAAATAGGACAGAAAAAAATATAAGGCAAAAAGCACAGAGGAAACAGAACAAATTAAAAAGTGTATACTGCAAAGGAAATATATATGCTAATATCAATATATTCTAATAATATATATTTGAATGATAATACAAAATATAAACATGACTTTGTTGCAACATGTATTAATCTGATTTTCACCTACATTTCTGTTCTTTCAACTCGCAGAGAATATACTGATTTTCTGGCTAGAATACTATTTTTTTTCCTGCTAGAATAAATGCTGTCGCCTGGCTGTTAAAGTTAGCCACAAGGAGTTGCTTGGTTTTCAAAATACAAGCCTAATAGAGTCAGAACTATATCTTGGGTGAAAGGAGTTAGACACCCCTTGTGTATCCTTCTGCTGAAGACTGTGCACTTCCTTTACAAAAAAATCTATTTTAAGCTTGTCAACAGATACTTGATTCAACGAAACACAGAAGACCTGTGACCTGTACTAGAAGAATAGGAAGGAGTTGCTTGGAGTTTTAAACATTTTTTTGCATGTATAAGATAATAAATATTGCAGTAAAATTATATGAGGTTTTAGATTTGATTTTGTTTTTACATAATTTTTTTATTCCACAAAAAATCCTAAACTATAGTTTTCTACTTTCATATAGAAGTCATTGAAATCTATCTCTAGCTGGAGTTGTTCTCAAGTGTGGTACTGAGTATAAATTAGACATTTCCAGAACATTATAACAGAAATCAAGTCTTGTAATTAGTGAGTTATTTAAAAGCATTAATACACTCTATTTCATTTAGATTACACATTTGATGGCTTGTTAATGAGAAAGTGGACCACATCCTGGAAAAAACATAGGTTACTTGAGTACATTATATTTCTTGCACATCCACAAGCTTTGTGTTGCACCATTATATTTTTTTTTGTGGTAGTGCTAAGAGGTAAAGGAACATGGGAGCTGGAATTTCATTTAACAGTTACTTTTCTAAACTTCTAGTGACTCTATTGCAGAAGCAACTGCAGATAAATAACCTTAGTGACAACCTGCTGGGCAAACACTCTTTTGGAGACCTGATTCTCATTTACACCAAGGCCCTTCTCAGCACTGGTATGGATTGGGAACTTTAAGACATGGTTAGAACAATTTTAAAGCCACTTTACATAGCCAGAGCAAATCAAGGGGGCTAAAGATAAATGAAAATTAAGGTCCAAGCATTCTATGAGGCTACTCATTTCTCATAGCATCCCTGATAGAGTAAGCAATTGCTTTTTAAATAAAATGTATCAGATGCTTATAGTTTCTAAAGCTTACTGCATCAATGAAAATCTAGAACGGAAAAGGAAAGAAAAATCTATAGAAAATCTAACAGCTACTTTTTTTAGACTGATTGACCACCCTATAAAACAAGTGGTGTCTTTTTGAAATAGGAGCTTCATTGCACTCTTCTCTGATCCAATAATTAAGCTTCTAAGCTCAATAAATAATCATTTAGCATCTAATAGAAGGCACCTTGCTTCACCTTGTAAAACTCATGTAAAAATAAGTCTATTAGGGCACAAATAGGGAGTAGTACAATACAACCTTTTTCCCAACCTCTCTTTCTGTTCATCATGTGCTATTCTCATCATCACATATCTTCTTATGCATTATACATCCTCTTTCACAGAGGTCCTGTATTATCTGTGAGCAAACAGACTATTTTATCCCTCATTAAAATGTTTAACTTTCCTATTTCTTTCTAATATTTTGTATTTTCTTTTTTTTATTTATTTAGTTAATTTGGTTTTTTGAGAGGGGTGGTGAAGGGGAGGTGGGTATTAATCAGCAGCGAAGAACATTAATCAGGTTTTTTCAACTGTTTTTTTTTAAGCATCAGTAGCTGATTGGATGACAATCACAAAGATCTCATCTGTTCAACAGTTATTGAATTATAAATGAGAACATTTACTGTTACTTTTTTCACAACAATATAAGATTTTTTGCATCCAAGACTGAGAAAAAAAACTTTTTATGTTCTTGACACCAGAGAATATTAGAAGTATATGCTTCTAGAAAGATGAGAAAATTTGAACAGTTTTAGAGAATTCATAGTCTTTGAGGTATTCATGAAATTAAACAGAACACAACAAAAGAGAAAAGACAAGAACAATAGAAAACAGAATGAGATAGGAGATAAGATCATATTGGTTCATGGAAGAATTTTTTTATTTGCTACATTTCAAAAGGAAGCCCCTGGGATAAGTGATCAGTGGAAACCAATGCCAGATGTTTAAATAAATGTATGAAAAACACTAAGGCCTTTAGAGTGCAGTCATTTATTCATACCATAACTGCTCTATTTAGACTAATTTTCATGCAACTGTCTTCTTGTTTTGTACAGTATTTTATGAAAGACAAAACTAAAGCAAGAGGACGCGGCAAACTGAGACATAGTTGCATATATCCAAAGGTACTTATCAATTAAAATGAAGAAGAAAAAGTGGTTTCCTCTCTTTTGGGGGTGAAAGCCATATTGACTAAGATCTGAACAAAAAATGATGAGCCAAATATGTCAGGATTTTCCAAACAGTTGATCCTCATGCAGATAGAAAATCTTAGACCTCTTCAGACCTCTTGAGACCTTTCTGTGCAACTAATCAACCTAATGCAAAGTGCAAATAAATTAAAAAAATACACACTTTGACTGCCATAATGAGAGAAATAAAACAGATTTATCATGACTACTGAAAGACATAACAAAGATTTATCAGAAAACAAAACATTATTTAAGCCTTTGCTTATTGCAGCTATGCCTGTATACTATGTATTTAATATAATATCTTTGAAAATTGAATAACACAGAAATACCTTATGGGCAATACCATTGAATAATACAAGAACAATCTCATATAAAATAACATGTAATATATGTATGTTGCATACAATATAGAGACATATCACCTATTTCATACAATAAACAGGTCTGCATAAAAGAAATGTGCTTATGAGTGTGATAAAAACTGTAAACTGTGGGGGAAAAATTACTCAAAGTAAGAATGAAGACAGTAAGTTACCTTAAGGACAAGAATTAAAAAAAAAAAGTTTGCTATTTGTAGTGGTAGCAGCCCAAATATCTGTCTTGGAATAGTTCCATGTTGGATTTCTTGACCATTAATTTGACATATAAGTCATTTGGATTATCTCATTGTTAACTATTCTACCTTCATAAGTCTTATTAAATGAACACAATGAGGCAAAAGGTTTTAAGAGGAATACATAATTTCCAGTAACATTCTTGAAGTATTCTCAGATCTCTTTAGGTTCTGAAATTATTCCCTCTTATTTATTGTCAAATCACTTGAAGTGATTTTTATGCAAATATCATAGGTTTAGTTCAATAACTGCTACCTCACAGGGGAGAAAAATGGGAATTATTAGTTCTCTTAAATCCTGATGTAATTTTCCTTTCATTTTGACAGGGAATATTTCATCTCCCTAATATTTGAAACCTACAGCTGTGTACATCTCGTTGGTTTATCAATTCATGGTTAACTCAGTTAAAATTAAAAAGTTTGTAAAACTTTCTGAACTCACCTCAGCATTTGGTTTGCCTTGCAGACATTAGTTAATAAAGCTTAAAACAGCCCCAGGCTGAAGGCGGTGTACAAACTGGAGCAGCTCTGGGCATGATGATTCTGAAAACCTGCTTTTTTATCATGGTTTCCTCTAGGTCTCAGGAGACAGCCACTTATGGACAGTCTGTCAGAGAAATTGGAAGCTGTTAATAGCAGCTTATGTACACTATATGTTCTGTAACTCAGACACTTTCTGTATCAGTATATATTGGGTTATTTTAAATGGAAGCTCTATGATTATGATTTAACACATAAGAAGGGAAGGACTACCCCAGATGAAAAGTTATTCAGTTAATGAAGATAGGCCAAAGAAGAGCTTGTAATATCTCCAAAATAATTGAACATAACCTGAGGAAGATTGATACCCTCATTCACATATGACTCAAAAAGTTCAGACTACTCACATTACTGTGATAGAAATTCTCATAGAACTTTACACTTTATTTCTTTGCTTTCTCCTACCAATTTCAAATTAATGTGGGTTTTTTTTGCTTAAGAAATACCTCATTTATATTTTGCAATCTCAAATTCTCTAAAAGACAGAAGATATCTGTGCTCAGTCAGTAATTAATATGCAATTGTGGTAACCAATGGCTAGGAGAACTGTGGAATTCTACCCTGGATTATGTACAGGCAAAAGACGCAGGACCATAGAAATAGAGTTAGGGAAAAAGATGGGAGACAGGAATTAGCGAAGCGCAGCAAGTCATATGAATATAACAAATTCAGAGATTTATTCTTAATTTTGACCTTTCTGGGCAAAGCAGCTCCTGTGAGCAGTGAGTGTGATCCTGCGATCCAACAGGATTGTGAGACACTGAAGTAGTAATACTGACGGAAAGCACCCATGAAAATATCTAATCAAGCTATATAATGTCTTCTTAAGAGCAGGGTTATTAAGTATTTCCTGTTTAGACTCTAATCAAGCAGGAGATCATTGCTAAATTTTCAGTGTTGGAATTACTTGGGGTGATTTTGGAAATGCAGGACAGAGTTGCTAATATGAGATATTGGCTAAAAATGAGACACTCTGACAGCCAGTTTTGAAAGAAGCTCTATCCTTATTCCAAGTTTTTGTGAGCTCAGTTTTTAAAGGAAAGACAAGGTAATTTTGGATCATGTTGAAGATTGCAAGGGACAAAAAAAAGCCCTCAAGAAGTGTCCTACAAAAGTTTTAAACTCTTGAACACCGGATCAAAGAAAAACTTAGATTAGAAGAGACTTCTGGAAGTCATCTGCCTCAAATTTCTCAGAGCTCGGCCAGCTTCAGAATTAGAGCAGATACTAGAAAACCTTCCACAGCTTAACACTGAAAGGTTTCAGGGCTTGTGATTCCTCCAGCTCTAGGAAAGCTGTTCCAATGCTAATTACTGACAAGGGGAGGAATGTTTTCCTTATGCCAAATTGTGCCTTGTTGTGCTGCCACTTGTGACCGCTGCACTCCATCCTCTCTCTACGCACCAAAACCAAGTCTGGTTCCATGTTTTCTAAAATTCCTGTTTTAAATAGTGCTGAAGGTACCCTCTCTGGAGCAGGGGAAGAGTGGAAGGAGTTGTCACCCTGAGGAAGAAATGACAGAGAATACTTGTGATGAATAGGCCGCTACCCCTATTCCCTGCTCCCCTGCACTGCTGGAGGGGAGAAGGTGGAGAACTCAGGAAAAAAGTGAAAGCAAGAAGGGAGAAGTGGGGGGAAGGTGTTTTTAAGGGTTCAGTTTATTTCTCATTATATGATTCTGATTGAATTGGAAGAAAATCAAAATAATTTCACTTAGTCAAGGGATTTTTGCCTGTTATGGTAATTGTTGAGTGATCTCTCCCCATCCTTGTCCAAACTCATAAGCCTTTTCTTCTATTTTCTATCCCCTGTCCAGTTGAGGCAGGAAGTGGTAGAGCAGCTTTGGTGGGTACCTGGTGTCCAGTCAGAGCCAAACCACCACACTAATGTAGCCTGGCAGAGTGGTTAACCATGCTCAGTGCAAGAATACACTGGACAGACACACTCATCTCATCCACAGAGGATCCCAGGGAGCTGCCTGCAAGATATCTCTTTTCCTGTAGAGATGCATCCATATGTTCTGTCTTCAGTTTTCACTGCTCAGCTTCATGGAGATTCACTTGTTCTGCTCCTCTACTGCCTAACCTGGTTCACGTCGCCCATCTCATCCAAAATTGACTGGGACAGCATGCTAATCAGTTCTTATGTGAAACTAAAGGACTTGGTGTACATTAGAATATTAGTGTTACAGATTTATCCATAAAAAAATTAAATCTGTGCTTCGAAGCCAGATGTGCTCAGTAAAAAAGGCTTTTCATTTAACATTCAAATGTTAAATACATGACTGAGAGTACCTTTTTCTTTTTAAGTCCTCTACTCATCTAGAAGTCTGTGAAAACAACGTTTTACCTGGTTTAAAAGATTTCAATCTCCTAAGTCATCTGGTTAAGTGAGATTTTGGAGTCTTT